TTTTGATTGATCAGATCATACAAAGCAAATAATGTACTTACATTTTTATATAGTTGGGGAAATCAAGATCCCTAGTAGACTATACAAGATGTACAGCCACAAATATATTTCAAGAGTATCCTAAAAACAGTAACAAAAAATGATAGAGTTAAAGAGCAATCTAAACTTACGTTAGGGTCTAAATATTTTAAGGGAAACTAGGAGTCATTAGACAAAACTGGGATGGAAATATTTATTCTCTGTGCCTTGTTATTTTGGAGACCAATAAATATTAAGCACCTCTTTCTAGGATGGGTAGTAATTCCTAATCTGGTAATAAAATCACTTACTTCTGCACTCATATATGCTAAGTTATTTTGAATAATGGCAATTAGAATTTTTTAAAGAAATTACTTCAGTATAGGTTTATCTATGGGAGTCCATCTGGATTTCTGATTTGGCCCCCACAGAACCCTTTCTCTTACTAGAGTATATAAAACTATTTGCCTGTAGGAAGGCCAGGTAGGCAGGTTCACTGGCAGGATAGGTCTCCTCACTCTGGATCAATCCTTCCTGCCCACCAACTTCCATCCCATAAGTGGGAAAAGTGCTCTCTAGATTTTCATGCATTCGGATCTTACTGAGTCCTGATCTATTCTAATGTACTAAAGTACACTACTTGTGAAATACCAAAGCCTTGAGGATTCTTAGATGTTTTTCCAAAAGTTAATATTAATACAAATTTTCTCTTGAATGTTTTATTGGGAAGACATGGAGGGGGATGGGGATTGCTTCCTGGTACACTCTCATTTCTTTTTTGAAATCTCTCCTGAACTAACCTTAGCACTTCTACAATATCTTTGTGGTAGATACAAAAGTAACAACAATGAAAAACTCTGCACAAAAATTTCTAAAGTGACTTAAAAAATGATCTAAAAAAAAGAGTTTATGACCTTTTCAAATGAAGATGAGCTTTTTTGCTTCTGTTGAAATCCCATGTTGATTCTTCATCAATAATGGGCTTGGCATTGCCACTGACAGCAGTAAACCCAGATCACACATCAATTCTGCAGGCTTCTATTCCCTCATGCTTAAAAACACTCAAAGCAATGGTGAACAAGTGCCACCAGCTGTTGAACTGATATCCAGTGGCACACTGAAAGACATCACTACAGCTAACTCTCATGTATCAGGTATTTAATCTCCAGAATACTTGTTTCCATAATAGTTCCACAATAAAAAAAATCCAGAAAAAAATATAGATATGCCCTTTAATTAGAACTCAGTATCACTAAGTACATCTGAGTACAAGATAGCCACAGGTAGTGCCAGATGGACTGTCATGATGGGCTGGATTGATTGTAGGAAGGAAATGCTACTTTAATTGCCCAGCTACACATTTACAAGTTCAATGCAGCTATCCTAGTGCTGACAGGCCCTGGGAAGGGACAGTAGATAAATTAGAAGAACACTGCAGAAATTAGGAAGATCATGCTGAATAGGATCAGAGGAGATTAAAAGTGGTGTTAGTGGCAATAACTGTCAACAGAATTTAAAAGCAGCAAAAGGAAGTGGAATCCAGGCCTCTGACAGAGAGAGGCAGGCAGCAAAAAAGTGCTAAGCTGGAGACAGATTAAAAGCAAAGACACTATGAGAAGCCCAGACACCACTGCACTGGGTCCTGAGATGGAAAAGAGGAGTCATTTAATCAACAAACTCTTACTAAACACCTACATTCGTAGGAATCGGGAATACAAACTTGAATGCTTCATGCTCCTGCTCCAAAATGCAATGAACTAAGTCATTACATCCTAGGGACCATATCTCCTAAATCTGCATTGAGATTATTCAAAGTTTAATCAGCAGAGCCGGTAAAAGTACAATTTGGAAAGCTCTCCTACGAAAAAAAATTTAAAAACACCTCGTCTATTACTATTAACTATACAGAACAGAATGAATCATTCTCCACGGGTACTGGCTGGCTACACTCTTACTCCACCATATAATAGTAAAAGCATGGGAGCTTTCAGGAATGATGATCAAATTGAACCCTCTTGTTCAGGGAGGCAGAAAAGCCCAGGATGTAGAATGCTAGTGAATGTAAAAGACAAAGCCAAAACAAACATGCAAAAACCTATGTTTAAGTAGAAAAGTTAATTCCTTAGAAATCAGTCATCCACCATGGGTTGCTAGGGGCAGAGTAAGCCCTCGCAGTTTTAACCTCTGTATTCTGCCTTTAAGTTTTAGTGATGTTGCGTCTGTATTAGGGTTAGCATCTGCAGACATCAGAAACACAGACATCTGACTGCAAGATTCTGGGTAAATCATTCCCACTTGTTCAACATCGAAACTGGTGAAGCATTCATTTAAAAAACATTTGTGGAGCCCTACCTACAAAGGTACCACTCGACGTTTCTTACATATTACAACCACATGTTAAGACAACAGATTTCGATAAAAAATTGCCTTCAAATACATTTTGTATGTGGGGAATTTACTTTATCCCTCTGCACTCCAGGTTGGAGAGCCCATCGAGCACACACTGCTTCGTGAAACTTCATTTGTTTTGAACTCTGCCTTGGCCCTGAGTTTAACATCATTCCAAATTCGGTCTCCTTTGCCCACGCAAGATATTGCAGTTAAGCAAAACTCTGTTCCGGAAACCTCATAAACTGTGTGAGTTGCTCAATTTAGACCCGAGGGAGTAAATTGAAGAGAGCTGACCTGTCATACTGTTTTAGACTGTTTGCCACAGAAATTTGAGATTTGTTCTAAACTGAACTAGTTATGGTGGTGACTATATGATATAGAAATATATATACACACACACATACATATATCCCATTATTTTAGTAACCTTTTACCAAATAGTTTCTTTATTTTCATTTTTGAGCCAGGATTTATTTAATAAACTTAATGTGGGTTTGGTAGGGGTATGGGAGACACACAGGGGAGGAAACTGATTGGTTGCCCTCTAAATATCAAATGCTTTACCAGAGACTTCCACATGTTTTATAAGTATTCATTCCACCACTGTTCACCCAATGCCTGCTGTGTACTAAGTGCTTGGGACTCTGTATTGAACAAGACTGAGACAGTCCCTGTTCTTATGAAGGTTTTGATTCACATGACGCCAATTAAAATACAAATCAGTCTGATAAACATGTGACAATGATCTGATGTTGAATTTGAAATTAAATACCTCTACTTATGTATTTAAAGGTAATACAAAATATATTTAAAGGTAATTTTTATAAAAGTCTGTTGTCTTAACCTGTGGCTGTAATATGTAAGAAAGCATGAGTCATACTTGCTTTCATACTGTGCAGTCATACTTTTGCAGGTTTTTTGCAGGTTTTTACTAGCTACATAACCTTAGTCCAGTTTGTTGATGACTCCGTTTCTTCATAAAATGGAGGTTGCTAATAGGAAATGAATGAGGGCACAGAGCACACATAACAGGTCTTGCACAGTGCCTGGCATACAACTGAGAAGTCACCTCCCTGCCTTGTTCACACATATCCAGTGGAATTTGTAGTTGATTTGTAAACTTGAGTAGCTGTTCTTGGCCTTGTAATCATTATAGCCACCAGGGGGCAGTAGGGAAACATGCCCACCAACCCAAGGAGAGAAATGGGGCGGCTCTGATTAGTACATCACTAAAAACAAATTTCGTTGTTATGCTAGCTCAGAGAAACACAAATGAAGGAGTAAATCGTCATTAAAAAGGTAATCAAAGCGAAAGTAAAAATGATAATATTCAATTAATCAGCAAATACATGATGAGGGCCCATACTGTGCCAAACTCTGAACACAAAAGTAGTACCTGGCCCATCAGATGGTATGAAGATTAAATGAGTTACAATGGGACTAACAAACAGTTAGCACTTTGTGGTTATTATTTTCTGGAGGATATGTTCTTAGATTAGCCACAAGAGAAAATGTGGTGGTGTTTATCAACTGCAAAAATCTCTAAAAGCATTTGATTGTTCTTGCCAATCTCTCTTACCAAAGGAACACAAATTTTTCTGATTTATCATTTCTGATCATTCTCTAGTCACACAGACCAATTGAAATAAAAGGTAATGACATGGAATCTAAGTGTGCCACATCCAGAAATCTTCAAAGGACTCACTGGGATAACTGAGATAAATGTTATGACTTTTTAAAGTTTGCCCACCAGTCCCAATGCTTTATTGGGTTTTAAATGTACTATTAATTTTTAAATGAGAAAAGATTCTATTACAAATAAAAGTATTAGAATGAACCATTCCCAATCTTACATTTTTCTTCTGATGCTTTAACTTGTAGTTCATGAATTGTGAGAGCATATTATAGCCATGTTCATGTAGAAGATGGCTGTAAAAACTTTCAGTGATAAATAAAGATGGGCATCCATAAATGTAAAATTCAAAGCCACCATTATCCACTATCTATAGTGCAGTAAATTAAAGTGAAAGAGTCATTTACATGATTAAATACATTAACAAAGTACCTAAACGCTTACATATCTTCCCCTTTAATTTTTTCCATTTTCCATTTGAATGTTGCTGTAGAAATGTTTGCCTGTAGCCCTGACTACATTTTTAATTATTACTTTCATTGTGGACTGTGTGTCAGCATCTGTGTATTATTGTTCAGCCTTAGTATAGAAAATAATAATATATTCCCTAATGACAATATATCATGCCCAGCTACCTTGAGTCAAGAGAAAACAAAATTGGAAGAAGATAAGAAATTAAAACTGGATGTAGATTTTTTTAAATACTGGAAAACAGGCCTTTATTCTACTCTGAACAAGTTGCCACATTAAGAAGATTACCAGATACAGAACACCCATGCAATATTTAGAGCATGCTTATGCTAAAAAAAAATTATGTATTGTATGTCTGCGATCCAAATTTAACTGGGCTTCTTGTATTCTTATTTTCTAAGTGTGCCAACCCTACACATGAAGCCCTCCATGCACACATAACCTAGAACCTTCACTCTTCTGAAGACAAATCCTGAGAAAAGCTTACCTGAATAGGCAGTTGGGTAGTCAGGTAGCAGCCTACAAAATCTGTCAGGTCTCCACCTACCCAGAAAAGCAGAAAACCCAAAGAAACTGCTGCGTCCACTTTTCCATTTTTGTAGGCTACTGGAAAGTGACAATTGACAAATAAACACTGGGAGCACAAAACTTAATGAGCCAACACAACACCAGATACCAAACAAAACTGACGATGTACAGCAATAAAACATTTCATTCGCTCCCAGTTAAGCCTCTAGGATGCCTTTCACCTGTCTCCATTCACAGCAAGGAGCAAACATATCTAAAATCTAAAAGAAATCCAGTGGCAATCCTAAAACATTAGTTTGCCTCTTCTCTCTGCCTTGTCCCTTATCATCTCTGTGGAAATTCATATATATATATCCTAAGTATATGTTTGTGTTTCCTTGATCTCATAATGGGAGAAGATATTAAGTCAGATAATTAAAAAGCCTAGATATATCACTAAAACATAAATGAGACTAGAGGTTCAAAATCTTTATCAGTCATTAGACCTTAAGACAGTATCTCTTTTTTTTCTTGTAATTCAGTTCTAATCAAGTTGCCTATATACACTAGAAGAAATACAAAAAATGTAAAAATCTATTTGACTACTTACAATTACACCTCTTGTCTGGAAAAGTTAAAAAAAAATCTTGGTTCCCAGGATTCAAAAGACCTGAAGACGTGGCTTATCACCTGTGGGACATGACAATCATTTAACTTCTAAAGTTATAAAGTAAGAGTAATTTTTTTTAACCAGAAGTTTTTATTGTTGTTGTTGTTGCTGTTTTGTTTTGTTTTTGTGTAGGAGTCTCTCTCTGTCACCCAGACTGGAATGCAGTGGCACACTCACAGCCACTGCAGCTGCAACGCCACAGGTGTGTGCCACCATGCCCAGCTAATTTTTTGATTTATTGTAGAGACGAGGTCTCACCAACTTGCCCAGGCTGGTCTCAAACCCCTGGACTCAGGGAATCCTCTCACTTCTGCCTGCCAAAGTGCTGGGATTACAAGTGTGAGCCACTGAGCCCAGCAACCAGAAGTATTTATCGCAGAAATTTGACCAAGGTTCCAATTGGGTGGCTCCAGTGGAAGCTAAATAATGTTTACTACAAGCCAGTGGCAGAACTAGGCATCAACCCAATGCTCCACATTCCAAGGGTATGATCATTCACTACCACATATGCTACCTAAAAGTTAATATTTCCAGAATTCATATCTGAAATCATAAACCCACTCACATCAATACATTATTCCACCATTAAGTGGCGGTGAATGGTATACCAGTGTCATGTTTCAGATTCCTAATGCATCTGAGGACTGACAGCATTCTATACCTTTCTGCAATATTTTATAAACAGATGACCTAGCTAAGTATGCAGAATGTTTTATAATGTCTTTTGAAGCAGCTCTCTCTCTTGCTTGAGATTTTTTCTATAGTAGATATACTTGTTATATGACTTTTAATTATAAAATAAACTTCACAAGGATGGAAAGGTTTGCCCTGCAGAACTAAACTGCTTGAATCCCTTTGAAACTTACCTCCATGTGCAAAAGGAAAGAGTGGTATAACGCAATACCTCACCAAAGATTTTTGAAAATTTTGCTCTTATCAAAGAAGATACTCAAAAGGAATTCAACATAAGATGGTGAAGCAGTAAGGTACATATGCTTCATTGGCTTTTTTTTACTAAATATAAAAGATTTGTATATCTTCATCAAAAAAAGTAGTCAGTACAATGTATTGACAATGTTACTGTTATATTCCAAAATGTTTTAGAATGATGCTTTTTACCACCTTCAAAATATACTATACAAACAGAACATGTGTTCAATAGCAAGATCAAACAAATACTTTAAAATATTTAAAACATTTAATATAAAATATTGATGTATTTTAAAAACAATATTATGAACAAGACTATTACATTATGGACTTGAAATCCAATATTCTTAACTTACAGAACAGCAAACAGAAAACAATGAAAACAAGTTCTATAACCATATTCCAGTATTTCTAGGAATAGGATATGCACTCTTGTAGGAGAGGCCAAATTCATGAGGTTCCATTCACACAAACCTTCCTGAACTCTACTGAGGAGATACATAGTTTCATCTGTTATTCTGTAATTAAAGCCTGGATAATTGATGGTGCTGATTTTTGGAAAATGCAACTTAAGGTCCAAATGACATTGTTTTGATTTAGGCTAAAGTTTGGCCACAACTTGTTTCCAAATCTATTAAAATTAAATATTGTATAAACTTGTTTATTGTTTCTTAGAAAACATTGTTGAAAAAAAAGTCAAAAGATCCAAATAAGTGGAAAGACATCCCATATTCATGGATTGGGAGACTTAATATTGTTAAAATGGCAATACTACAGAAAACAATCTACAGATTCAGCACAGTTCTTATCAAAATTCCAGGTAATTCTTTTACATGCAGTACATGTTGATTTTAAAATCCATATCAAATTGCAAAGAACCTCAAATAATTAAAGTGACCCTGAAAAAAAAGAATTTAGAGAACTAACATAAATATCCTCTTAAGTGTTAATTGACCATTTGTATATCTTTTTTTGTAAAAATGTCTTTTAAATTATTTTCTCTTTTAATTGTAATATTTGTCTTTCTTGTTCTTGAGTTGTAATAGTTCTTTATATATTCTGGACACTAGACACTTATCAGATATGTGGTTTATAAATATGTCCTCCCATTCATTCTGCAGGTTGTCTTTGAACTTTCTTTTTTTTTTTTTTGAGTTGGAGTCTCACTCTATTGTCCAGACTGGAGTGCAGTGGCCGCTCCCGGCCACTGCAGCCTCGACCTGCTGGGGCTCTGGTGATCCTTCCGCCTCAGTCTTCCAAGTAGCTGGAATTACAGGCATGCACTACCATGCCCAGCTCATTTTTTGATTTATTGTAGAGATGAGGTCTCGCTGCCCAGGCAGGTCTCGAACCCACGGGCACAGGCAATCCACTCACCTCAGCCTCCCAAGGCACGGAATTACAGGCTGAGCCGCCAAGCCCAGCTTTTACTTTCTTTATAATGTCTCTGATGCACAAAAGTTTTTAAATTTTAACAAAGTCTAATTTATATTCTTTTCTTGCTTGTGCTTTGATGTTATATGTAAGAATCTGTTGCCAAATCCAAGCTCATGTGTATTTACTTACTCCTATATTTTCTTCTAAGAGTTTTATAGATTTAACTCCTAAATTTAAGGTTTTTAAAATCTATTTTGAGTTAATTTTTGTATATGGTGTATATGATGTGTCCAACTTCATTATTTTGCATGTGGATATCCAGTTGTCCCAACACCACTAGTTGAAAAAATTTTTCTGTCTTTATTGAATTATCTTGACTTCTTTGTCAAAAAATAATTAACCATAGATGGATGGGTTTACTTCAGGAAACTCAATTCTAGCCTATTGAGCTATATATCTATTATAATGTTAGTACTACACTGTTTTTGATTATTACATTTGTCATAAGAATTTTAAATAGGAATTTCTACAAAAAAGTACAAATGACCAATTAACATGTGAAAAGATATTTAACATCATTAGTCATTAGCGAGTTACAAATCAAAACCACAATGTTAGTTGCTATCAATTTAACCCAATGAAATACGTCACATCTACTAGGATATCTATAATAAAATACAATTTTACGAAAGGAAAATGACAAGTGTTGGTGAGGATATGGGGAAATTGGAGCTCTGACACATTGCCAGTGGGAATGTAAAATAACCACTATGGAAAACAATGTGGGTGTTCCTCAAAAAGCTAAATATAAAATCAACATATGATCCCCAAATTGTCATTCCTAGGTATATAACTAAAGAGAATTAAAAATAGGTGTTCAAAGAGTTGTATGCAGATGTTCATAGTAGCATTCATTATTCATAATAGCCAAAGGACAGAAGTGGCCCAAATGTCCATTAATTGATGAGCAGTTAAGCAAAAAAGTGGTATATTCTTACAAGGGAAGAATATTCAGCTATAAAAATTAATGAAGTACTGGTACATTCCACAATAAGGATTTCTATGTCACACCCTTAAGGCAAAATACATGCCTTCTACTTGACTTTCTCTCCTTTTTAGTAGATGATACGAAGACCTGTTTTCAATTTGTTGGCATCTATACTCAGGAATGAAATTGTTGGGTTATACAATAAAATCTGCTTATCTTTTTGAGAAACCATCAGGATGTTTTCCACAGTAGCTAAACCATATTTTGTTCCCACCAGCAATATACTAGAGTTTCTATTTTCCCCACATCTTTATCAACACTTTCCTCTTTTTTTTAATTATAGTCATCTTAGTGGGTATAAAAATTTCATTGTGATGTTGACTTGAATTTTCTTAATGACTAATGCTGCTGAATATGTCCTAGTTGAAAATTTGCATACTTTCTTTGGAGAAATGTCTATTCAAATCCTTCAACTCTTTTTAAATTGGGTTATTTGTCTTTTTGTTGTTGAGTTGTAAGAGTTCTTTGTATATTCTGGATACTAGACCCTTGTCAGAAACATGACTGGCAAATACTTCCTCCCACTGTGTGGGCTGTCTTTTCACTTTCTTGATAATATCCTTTGAAGCACAAAGGTTTTTAATTTGTATTAAGTTCAATTTATGTATTTATTGATTGATTTTTTATTTATTGTTTGCTCAAGTGTTTACTGTCATATCTAAAAATTCATTGCCAAACTCAAGGTCATGAAGATTACCCCAATGTTTTCTTTTAAGAATGTTATGGTCTAATACACATATGTAGGTCATTGATCCATTTTGAATTAATTTTTGTATATGGTGTGAAGTTAGACATCCAATTTCATTTTTGTATGCTGATATCCAGTTGTTCTGGAACCAATGTTGAAGGACCTTGGCACCCTTGCCTACTGAAGGGCCTTGGCACCCTTGCCAAAAATTATTTCACCATAGATGTATTGGTTTATTTCCATTGACCTACATGTCTGTGCTTACAACATTACTATACTGTTTTGATTACTGTAGCTTTGAACAGTAAGTTTTGAAGTTGAAAACTATGAGTCCTCCAATTTTATTCTTCTTTTTCAATATTGTATTGGTTATTTGGAGCTCCTTGCAATTCCATATGACTTTGAAGATTAGCTTTTTCCATTTCTGGATAAAACAGGGTATTGGAATTCTGATAGGGATTGCACTCAATTTGTAGAGCACTTGGATAGTATAGCATCTTAACACAATTAAGTATTTCAATCCATGAAAAGAATATCTTTTCAGTTACTTAGGTCTTCTTCTTCATCTTTTTTTTTTTTTTTCCTCTTTGAGTTGGAGTCTCATTCTGTTGCCCAGGCTGGAGCGCAGTAGCACACTCCCAGTCACTGCAACCTCCACCTGCTGGGCTCAGGTGATCCTATTGCCTTAGCCTTCCAAGTAGCTGGAACTACAGGTACATGCCACCACATCTGGCTAATTTTTTGATTTACTGTAGAGATGAAGTCTCTCCAAGTTGCCCAGGCTAATGTCAAAACCATGGGTTCAGGCAATCCTCTCACCTCGGCCTCCCAAAGTGCTGGGATTATAGACGTGAGCCACCGTGCCTGGCCTACTTAGGTCTTTGATTTTTTTCCTCAGTGTTTTTGTAATTTTCAGGGTAAAAGTCTTTTACTTTCATGGTTATATTTATTCCTATATAGTTTATTCTCTTAGAACTTATTGTAAATGAAATTGTTTTCTTAATTTCCTTTTCAGATTGTTCACTGCTATTGTATAGAAACAGCTGATTTTTATATGTTGATCTTGTACCCTAAAACTTTGGTAAACTCATTTATTACTTATAGCAGTTTGATGTTTTAGATAGAGTTTTCAAGATTTTCTGTATATATAGGATCATGTCATCTGCAAATATAGTGTTACTTTTTCCTTTTCAGTCAGGATACCTTTTATTTCTTTTTCTTGCCTAACTGACCTGGCTAGAATTTCCAGTAAAATTTTTAACAGTGACAAAATTGGGCATTCTCATCTTATTCCTGATATTATGGGGAAAGCTCTCAGTTTTCCACCATTGAGTATAATGTTAGCTGTAAGCTTTGTGCAAATGCCCTTTATCATGTTAAGTAAGTTTCCTCCTGTTTCTAGTTATCTGAGTGTTTTCATCCTGAAAGGGTGTTGGACTATGTCAAAATGCTTTTTTTTTTAACATCAATTGAGATAATCATGTGACCTTTTCCTTTTGTTCTATTAATGTATTATATAACACTGATTAATTTTTTATGTTGACCCACCCTTGCATTTCCGAGATAAATCCCACTTGGTCATGTGTACAATTCCTTGAATATGCTGTTGAATTCAGATTGCTGGTATTTTGTTAATGACTTTTGCATTTCTATTCATAAGGGATATTGATCTCTAGTTTTCTTTTCTTGTGGTATCTTTGCCTGGTTTTTCTATTAGGGTAATAAGGGCCTCTAAAAAGAGTTAGTTTTCTCCTTTTCTATTTTTTTTCAAGTTTGAGAAGAATTTTCTTTAAATATTTGGTAGAATTTACCAGTGAAGACATCTAGTT